AGACAATTTACATGCATTAACTTTAAACCTGACAACAAATCTATTAGATGGTATGATTACTCCCATTTCACAGATAAAGAAGCTAAACTACAAAGAGGCTAAGATCTTGGCTACATTTTCACAGCCGCTAACAAGCAGAATCAGGATTTGAACCTAGGCTGTGTAGTACCGGGGGCCTGATCTACATCTGTATGCACTTGCAAAATGTCCTCCAGGGCGGTGGGCCCATTCTCTCTCTCCCAGACTGCAAGACCCTTTGCAGTGGTCCCTATACATATTGCAATGATTCTGAATAAAGTCTTCTATACCAAAAAAATAAAAATAAAATATATTATCTAAATCTTTAATATTTGGTTCTGTAAACAAACAAATGAGATTCCTTCTTTTATTGTGATAGCATATTATGATAACTCATTTTATTTGATTCCTTAATAACTGGATAGAGATTTCCATGAGGCTGAGGATACCAAGTTTAGACCTTTGAAAATCTGATCTAAGCTTGGTGGAGATCTGATATCCAATGTGAGCTTAGTGAAGACTAACAGGTTGTAAATGCCCAAATCTCTTTATGAGAAACTAATAGTGAAAGAGAGAAAAAAAATGCTTCTATATTAAAATAGCTTCTTTTGGAGTTCAAAGGAAGCTAAATAAGGTTTCACAGGAAGATTCATATTTTTTAAGCCTTAAAGAAATGTGTATACATTTCAATGAAGTAAATGTCCCAGCTACATTATTCAAACTTAAGAGATTAAAAAAATTTTTTCCAGCATCCAAACTCCTGATATCCCTATTTCAGCCACAAGGAGGACAGGGAAATAACTCTGGATGTTTATTAGAAGGATAAGTTAAAGAGGCAGAAGCAGTATATACATTCTCTAAACTACAAATTTACACAAGGACGCCATTGTCTTTTTTTAATCAAATACTCATAGAAGTGATGTCTAAAAGAATAAAGCTTCTCTTTTATACCTCCAAATAGAAAACATAATCAAAATCTGCTTTTTATGTAGGATGGCTTTTTTAAATAAATGAGCAGGATGAATTATGTGGCTATAAATAAATCTACTGACATATAATAAAGCAAAGTTGAACTGTTTTATGGTGTCACCGAAACCCTTGGATATATTTATAGCCATGTTAACAATCCCCAGTATTTTTTCAGGACTTTTATTTCATTTCACATTATGAGAGTTTAGTTGTGTTTTCTCTCCCCCCCCCCCCCCAAATTGCCTTCTGGAGGCCTTTGTGTAGAGATAGAAAGTAAGGATCTCTACTCTTCGTATTTGGAAAAAAGGGTCCTCACCTAAAAGCTTAGGGCTCACACAGAAACAGGCAGCTCTGATGCTTTCTGGTCTTCCTGTTTCTGTGCAGTTCATATGAGATGTGCCTGCAATGAACAACTTGACAGGGGTCTCCTGCTGGCAGCAAAGTGGCAAGTCAGAGTCTATACGAGTAAGGAGAGACCTGTGCAGAGATAAAATGTACGGTACTGTGGAAAATAAGCTGATGGACTGAGCAACTTTGCATTAGATTCCTGGTGCCTGACACATTTAAATACAATCCCAAGGCTTATTTTAGAAGCCAAAGACTCTCCAGACTGTCGCATAGCTGAGGCACAGACCAAAACAAGACAATGGGTGTGATGGATAAAGATGCTCCTACCTTACCCGGGAACATTCTCTTGCAGGGTAAGGATGGGGCGGTGGGGGGGTGGGGGGGGTGAGACATTTAAAAAGCAGGAGGAGAAAGTCTGTCATACCACTTCTAAAGCCTGAAGTCATAGAGGGGTTTTTAAAAATTGTATTCCATTTAGAAATTTCAGGATCCAAAGAGTATGGTCAGGACTCCGTGGGGGATTTATTCAAGTGGAGCTGAGCGTGGTTGTTCCTGTGAAATTATTTATATTTTTCAACTTGAAATCTGGGTGAGCATAGTGTTTCTAAATCTACTTCTCTTCTTTTCTATCTTAAAAGTGGACTCTCGTTTTCATCCTGTAGCTGTACACTTGATTCCCAAGTGTTGTCACTCAAAGGACCCACTAGAAAAGACAACTCAAGAGGAAGAGGAGAGCTTTTGATGGTAGGACAAGGGATGACAAATCCTTCAGCTGAACTCTAGCTACAGGCGGTATTTAGAAAGTATCACTGGAGCTAAAAATCTTTAAAAATGTATTTCATGTGTTAGACTAACATTAGCTCTAAAGGACCTAAGAAGAATAGGATTCAGAAAAGAAGTCTAAATAGGAATGTGTTAACTAGAGGGAGGGCCACGAGGGGTAAGAAACACATGAAAAAATGAACAGTGTGGTAAATTGGAGAAGGGCATGCATTTTATTAGGATAATTGGGGGTTATCTCTTTGTAGCGGAAGAAGTAAAATAGACCCGTCTTACATTTGTCCTCTGAAGCCTCTTCTCAGTATAAATACTGTGTCCCCATATGGAATCAGCCTTACTGAAATTCACGATGACTTCTTCTGACATTTTGCAAAAAGTAAATAAATAAGTTATAAGTATGACAAGTGAAATGAATAGTTCCAGCTGTGACGCACCAGCAGCATTTCCAGATTTTGTACCGCATTAAGGATTTATTTTCCCTTTATTGCCTAGCAGAGAATTAATTGGAAGGTCCATCTAAGCTTACCACACATCCTCAGAATGAAGTCAAAGCAGTCTCCAATGCTCAGTGCCAATTTAGAAAAGAAAAACAGTAAGTAGGTAGGTGGTCGGCGTATCAACTCTGAAAAAGCTTGTCTCTGGGGATTGACATTGCTAAAGCCAGACAAACATATCAGCACAATTAATGGCATAAGGAAAACGTGAGTATGAGACTGCAGTTGATTCACTGAGTTCATTCATTCAGCAAGTATTTACTGAGCTCCTATTATGTGCTACCCCGTTGTTCCACACACAGAGAATACAGGGGAGAACATGAAAAAGACTCAGCCTTCAGAGAGCTTATGATCTTTTTAAAAAGATAGACTATGAACAAATACATAGATAAAATAATTTCAGAAACTAGAGAGTGCTGTCAAGGAAATAAAGCAAGGTAATGGGAAGGGATGCCTTTCAGGGGTGGAGGTCCACTTTAGATGAGGACCCGAGAGGCTCTCTGAGGAGGTGACATTTGAAATGCAACCATCACATGAAAATCTTGGAGAAAAACCTTCCAAACAAGAGGGGCCACCAACACCATAAAGGCCTTGGGATGAGAAGGAACTTCCCACATTCCAGGGAGAAAGACCTGGGGAACTAGAGAATAGCGAGCAATGGGGCATCTGGTTGGAGATAGCTGAAGAATTAGGGGTAAGCAGAGTCATCTAGGCTGCCTTAAGGCCAAAAGTGCAGTGGAAATCCATCTGCGGGAGTAAATTAAGGAGTGGTTATGGAGTGGAAATTATCATGGATATTTAGGATGTTAAGAATTTTTTCTGGCTTTTCTAGCAATGATAGCATGAGACCCTAAATATGTACTTAACCTGTACTTCACCTTTTTAGAGCTTCAAGCTTATTTTTCTTGTGAACAGAGAATACTGCCAGGTACTTGGAGTTTTCTCATTTTAAACCCCCAACAACCTGGAGGAGGCATGATCCTCATTTTACGGAGGAGGAAACTGAGGTTTCAATGGAATGTTCACAAACCATCCCTTGCCCTTGCTGTGGCGTTGCTGAGTGCATGCTGCTGGTTTAAGACACTGTGTATGGAGGCACACCCAAAGGTATGGAGAACCTTGTCAGAGGGCCATTTCCTGGGGGGCTGTGGATCCTGGATCACCCTTGCAACTGAGAGCCAGGGCAGTCAGGGCGACTCTGTGGTATCATTTACTAGGGGTAGCTTGGAGCTTTTAAAGAACACCAATTTCAGAACCAGAATACCAGCTCGCTACCATAAATTCTGAAATGGACTTGATGTATGACCTTGAAGGCAAATCATCTGTAGGTTTGGTATCTTTATCTGTTGGAGAGATATAATGCTGTTTCCTCAACATCTCCTTGGGGTGTCTCAAGGATGAATAGGACTGTCTTAATCCCTGTTCTTTATCCTCAGGGGGTTTAAAATGAGAGTGGAGTATATAATAGGTACTATAAGCTCCTTAAAAAAAAAAAAAGCCTCCTAAATACAACATATATATGCTTTTACCAGCAAGTATCGTTCACTCACCTTCCCTTCCTCCCTGCAAATGTAATGGGCTTTTTAACCAAGGTGAACGGTAGGAGGGAGTCAAAGCTAGCGAGACCTGTGTGGACAAGGGCTTGGCCTGCGAGGGCAGCCTGTTGGGTTTGTCCTTCCTGCATATCAGACATGGTGCAGGGGTGATGCCGCCTGGTCCACAGGGTCACAGTGTCCTGGCAGAGCCTTGGGTCAAGCGCCTCCGGAGTCACAGATGGCCACGACAGAGGACAGGTGCTGCCACTCTGGCTCTCCCCTGCGTGTTCAGTCTTGGGGTAAACACCGTGTTGTCTTCGGTGCCCAGTGCCCAGGGGACTTCACCCACTTGGGGCAGCCCTTTTGTAGCCAGTTGCGGACAGGCCGGTCACTTCTCTCTGAGCCAGCCAATGTGGCCCTCTCCCCTTCTGAAGTTTATTTTCTGTCGGGACCACAGGCATGGACGATAACCTCTGGATTTGGAATCCCAACAGCATCCTTCACCCGGGGTGGCAGCCACCTTCTGGAAGGGCTGCGAGACACCCAGCCCTTCGCCCTTCGGAGTCCCCGGGCCACCGCTCCGCCTTCACTTTTGAGAGTCTGGACTCAGATTCCCATCATTCGCCCTGCGGGTGGGGACCTGGGCATCTGAACCCCGGGAGACACACGCGCCTGGAGAGTGGCCGCCAGAGCCACCGCCAGGCGGGGAGGAGCGCCCTTGCGGCTCCACCGCGTGCAGCAGCTCCAGCGCGCGCGCTGAGTCAAGGGGTTTCTTTTTATTTCTGTTTGGAGCCACGTCGGCCCTGGCCGCCGCGGTTAGTTTTCCTCTCAAATTGTGAAAAGGTGCCTTCATGGCCCGGGTGAATCAGAAGGCGCAGTATCGGTCTGTCGGTGTCACACGCTCGCGCGCGCACACGGCCGGCGGGAGCCGAGCAAGCCAGGGGAGTGAGGGCGGGCGGTGTGTGCCGGAGGCTCGCGCGGGTGTAGACGAGCCTGTGCCTGAATGGGGAGGGCCGGGATTCCTGGTCGCTCTGGCCCCTCCTTCCTCCGGAGCCAGCCAGTCCCTCGGCAGAGCGCTGGGGCTGCACTGATTTGCTCTCGGGAGTGCGCTATTTGCATATGACTTGCCCATTTGTGAATTTGGCTCCTCAACTCCTCGCTTCACTTCACCTGTGCCTCTCCGGCCCGCGCACTTCGCAGCGCCCGCCCGCCAGCCTCTCGGCCCCTTCTGCCGCCTGCCGGGCACCTCCTCTCGCGCTCTCCCTGATTTCACCCACCCGCCTCCCTCCGCCCCGTGCCACGTTGGTCTGGGTGGCTGCTCCGCGCCGGGTTCCTCCTCCTCTGCTCCTTCCCTCCAGTCCTTGTTCTCTTCCTCTGCCTGCGGTGGCTGCTGCTGCTTTTCATCCAGTTGGGAAACCCAGTAAGCCGGCGGCTGCTCCGCGGCGCTAGTCCAGCACGCGCAGGGTTAACAGCCTCGCGCTCCCGCGGAGACTCCCTGGAACACCCGAAGAACTCTTCCACCTGCAGCCCCCTTTTGCCTGGCAGTTCTGCATTGCATCGCGTGGAAGTGGAAACGGGAAAATAAAAATGTTCAAACTCCTTGGATGTTGGAATAAACTCACCTGAACCCACTTGGGGCTCCTGCTGCCTCCTTCTCTTCCTTCATTGCCACCTTTCCTCTGTGTGGCTGCCCGGAGTGTGCAGTTAAGTCATCAGACTCGAGGTGCCCAGAGATCTGGAGGAAGCCACGCCGGTCTTCCCCTGACATGCGTGGCATGTCGGGGCATCCTAGGAGGTTTGCTATACCTGAGACGACACTGGCATCCTAAATTTCAGCCCCGGGAAAAGAGAAGGGGCTTTGCTTTTTATCTTTTTTTTTTTTTTTTAGTATCTTTTTTTTTTTTTTTTTTTTTAAACTGATTCATCATTGTCTTGAAAGCGCATATTGCTTCCCTCTTCCCCAAATTCTGGCAACTCTTCCTCCTGCTATGATGGGCCCTTGGGCATCATGAACTTCATTACTCCTCACTGGCTGGAATTCAAACTGCCCATCTGTAGTGGTCCCGTGCGTTGACCATGCACCTGAGAATCCACGCGAGACGGAGCCCTCCTCGCCGGCCGGCCTGGACGCTTGGGATCTGGTCACTGTTCTGGGGATGCATCGTCAGCTCTGTGTGGAGTTCTTCTAATGTAGCTTCCTCCTCCTCCACCTCTTCCTCGCCGGGGTCTCACTCTCAGCACGAGCACCATTTCCATGGCAGCAAGCATCACTCAGTGCCTATTTCTATCTATCGCTCCCCTGTTTCCCTTCGAGGAGGGCACGGTGGGTCTCTCTGCTCTTTATCCTTTTAGTGGGGCATAGCGATTCCTTAACTCACTTGCCTTGTAGGTAGTGTCAAGGGTGGGAAGATAATTTTTTTAAAAAATGAATTTAAAATGATGAAAAACATTGTATGTCCATGAGGGAAGCAAATTTCTACTTTCTCTTAAAGGTTAGTGTTTTCTGCCCTAGTCCCCGACCCCCACCTCCACTTTTCTCTAAAGGGTTCTTCTCTCCTTAGCTCCCTTATTCATAGCTGCAGACACCACACTCTCTCTTTTACAACCTTCTACTCTCCCCACCCCCATGGTGGTAGGCAACTTACAGATGAGTCCCAATGCTGTACTTGGAGAAATAGTCAATTCACCTTGCTTTCACCCTTCTTTGCTTGTGGTCTTGCTTGGGAGCTAGTTGGGGTGGGGTGGGGGCGGGGTGGGAAGAGCAGACAACAGGAATCAGGTTTTCAGCCAGAAGTTGATTGAACTGTTGTAAAGTAGCCTGTGTGGTAAAGGTCAGCCAAGAGTAGCTGAATATAAGAAGGCAGAAAATATAATTAACAACCCGTGGCCATTTGTGTTGATTTTGGCAGCTTTATATTTGCCCACATGTCTATCGAGAGATTGAAAGAGCAGCTATTTCTAAAACTACACATCTAATATCACTATCAGAGAGGAACCAATATGTAAGATAAGGCTAAGTTCATTTATAATTTACCCAAATGTAAATGATAGTAACTTCAATTCCACCGTGCATGCAAATGTTATTTCATTTCTAGGGAGCAGAGATGGGCTTGTTCACACAATACAGGTACGATGTGTTTTATTCCCAGTGACCCTCCTTGCATGACTATTGAAGGAAGAGATCTATGGCTTTTAAAATTATATTCAGCTCCTAGCCGGCTGCCTCTAAAAGGGCGATGTCTGTAGCTAAGGTAGGAGCTTGCTGTAGTAAACTGTTCTAAAGAAAGGAGCTTCCTTATTTGTTTACTATGCACTCTACTCTGATGGTAAGGGGAGCAGGACACACAGAAATGAAGACTGGCTGCAGAAACAGCCCTCCAGGGAACAGGAGCCTGAACCATACTAGGGGGTCCCTGCCCTTGTTTGTGTTTTAAAAACTGATAACATGCAGACTCCTTTTGGAAAGTTGATTCTTCCTGCTGCATCCGAGCCCTGGGCTTTGGCTTTATGCTATCTGTAGTGTAAGTGTCAGCACATTGAGAAAATGCCAGCACATACTCTGGCTCTTTTGGACTCTCTTTAAATTTTATCTGATGGAGTTGTCAAGCAGCTCACAGCCTGTAAGGTTGGTGGAGGAGGATGGTGAAAAGAAGGGATTGCTTGATCTTGATCTGGTGGCTGTTTTCTCTGTGACTCCTGCTGGGTCTGGTGTTGGCCCAAAAAAAAGGAGCAAACCAACATAGGAGAAGAAAGAGCCACAACCACCAAAAAAGCAATTTCATTGACATGGAAACTGAGCTCTTAAGGGGGAGAGGGACTGGAGGGAGTGGGTAAGAAAGAAAAAAAAGGGGGGGGGAGTGGGAGATAGGGGAAGCCAGACAGACTGTTACTAATAGCCATAATTAAATACGGAAATCCTCAGAGATAATTAGCTAAATTTTGCTAATTACTGTAAATGATCAGCAGGGAGAGGAAGATTATGCATCAGTTAGAGGTTAGGGGCGGCAGGGTCTTTGATGTCTTTTGTTCAGGATGCAAACAGTTAAAGCAGATACTAGTAAGTGCTGGAATTTGCAGAGCAGTGCTTACCTAGGGTCCCTAAGTCAGTCAGTCTCTCTCTCTCTCTCTCTCTGTCTCTCTCATAGAGGGGTTGAACCTTGCACTGGTTAAACATGACTCTTTTTTTTTCATTTATTTCTTCAAGGATTGGTTGCTCAGTCTCCTTTAAATCTTTTTGACTGATCCCCAGTCTGGTTTCTCATTAACCTACATCTGATAAAATTCAGCATGATGGAAAATAAGAAGAAAGTAAGTAAATGGCTAGAGACCCCAGAAAAGGCCCTCATACCCACCAGAGCTGTAGGGTACAGTGAACTCCAGGGTCTGGCATGGCTGAGATAAGAAAGCTCATGAATTCAACTCTTCACAATCCTCTTTCAATCCTGAAGTCTCAATTCATTGATTTGGGGCTTGGAGAGTGAATGCATCTATATTAAGTAGGCTCCTTGCATATTTAATTGATGTTTTTGAGCATAAAATCAAGAGAAGCAGCAATCAACAAACTATCCCTACATCTGGCTCTCATTCTGCATCCAAGCTGCGACCCTTTGCATCTCTAACTAAAAGAACCAGAAATTCCCACAGAGCTTTGCTGATGCACCTCTCATTCTTATTTGGCGTATACTTGTTTTTTTGTTTTTTTTGTTTGTTTGTTTGTTTTTTCCCCTAGTCTAAGGCAAAGACCTAGCTAGCAGCAATTGTTTTAAAAATCTTTTGGGTGGAGGTGGTAGGAGGCATGGCACCAAGAAACTGATGGTTGTTACTCTGACGATTTACTGCCAATCTTATTCCAGAGTTAAAGGCAGCCCTCTCTATTGTCTGTGCAGAAGTAAATGCCCTTAATTTTGGTATGAAACAAAACTAGAACCTTGAGTCCAAGAATCTCCTTTGGACTTAAGAGGTTTTTTTTTTCTAACCACACCCTTGCCCATTTTCTGAGAAGCCAAAGTCCTCAAAGCTGCTGCTCATCAGTTGGTGCCTCAACCCCCTTTCCCCACTATCCAGCTCTATAGAGGGATTCATGCTAAGACAGATGGAAGAAACAGAAATCCTCCAAATCGCTGGTATTTTACCTACACTTTTGCCTGTGCTTGGTTCCAATCTTTAGAAAATTGGTTATGTTATAAACTTCCTTAAAGCCTTTATCCCAGGACAGCCTAGAGGATGCTGGGATTCTTTGTGAATTAGGGAGACTAAGGCCACACTTATCTGGGATATCTCAAACTGCCGTATGTTAGGATTGTGTTTCAGGACAGGATCTGCTTTCTTCTTAAAGGGAATCTGGTAGACCCTTCCCCATTCCCTTAGAGTCCTCATCGCACTTTCATGCTGTCTCCTGTTCATCAGTCATTCAGTCAATACTCATTGAGCACTTACTATGTGCCAGGTTGTGTGCTACTGCTGAAAATACAGAACCAAATAAGACATTGTGGTGTTCAGCTAGGAATAATTGCAAAACTTTATATATATATGTTTCCATAATTTTAAAAGTGCAGGAAGTGGGTAGAAATCCAAATATCAAGTGAAATTAATATAAAATCTAAATATTCTTTATAAAATGAAGACTTACATTATCCTGTTATTTAAAATATCCTTCTAGGTTCCTTTTCATCCTTGGCTTTATTTCCATATGTAAATATCATTTTTTATCAAAGCACAAGGTAGTTTAGTGATTACAGATCTATAAATAGTAAAATATATTTGTTTAGCAAGCTTAAGTTACATAAGAGAGTTTTGTATATTTTTTCCTTCGTTTTTTTCCTCTTTCTCACCTTTAAGAAATCCAATGTGGCCAGGCACGGTGGCTCATGCCTGTAATCCTAGCTCTTTGGGAGGCCAAGGCGGGCCGATCACCTGAGATCAAGGGTTCGAATCAAGACCCGCCTGGCCAACGTTGGGAAACCCGGTCTCTACTAAAAATAGCAACAACAACAACAACAACAAAAGAACCCCAATGTACATCTGCCTAAGAAATGCTTCAGTCATTATAGTCTAGAGGCAGTTTTCTTCAAGGATCGATTGCTCAGTCTCCTTTAAATCTTTTTGACTGGTCCCCCCAGTCTGGTTTTTCACTAACCTACATCTGATAAGATTCAGTGTGATGGAAAATAAAAAAGAAAGTAGATAAATGGCTAGAGACCCTGGAAAAGGCCCTCAGACCCACCAGAACTGTAGAGTACAGTGGTTTTATGTGTACCTTAAATGTTATCCTCCACAAAATAGCAGACTTTCCTGGCTCTGTAGACATTTGTGGGGACTAGCTGAGGACATAGAACTCTTGGAAAGCTCAGTTTTAAAAGGGAACACACCACAATGTATTTGCAGGAAGATCTCCTGCTCAGAAACCAGAGTGTGTGTGGAAGCGAGGGGTAATAAGTCCTGTTCAAACAATCTTAGCCCAACTGGTGGTGGTCATGGGCCCCCTGTGACACATGATCCTGGAGTCTTTCTTGGACTCATTTCTTGTCCCAGAGACCCACCCCCAAGTTTTTACAGCCCTGGGACTTGTTTTGCTTTGATCTATTGAGCACATTCTTCTGCTCAGCCAGCTGCTTTCTAACCACTTTCTTGATGCCTTCCTTGTTGAGATTCGGGGAGTTGAATAATTCATAGTGTTGGTTGACAGATCAAATGATAAGATTTATATATCTTTGGCCTTGGTGATGAATTAATTAAATTGGTTTCTCCTTTGTCTCCTCTAGATGCATTGTTTTTCTTCTCTAAACTTCACTGGCAAGTAGTGGGTCTGGTGATAAACTTGTTCTTGAGAGACCACCATGGGATGACTATAATACTCTAGTGTAAATTTCTTCAGGACTTTCAACATAGATCATTGGGTGGTGTGGAGTAGAGGCAGTTGTGTCATAGAGAGAAGAAATAAGATAATTAGAACATCAGGGAAAAAACAAGACACACACACACACACACACACACACACACACACACGAAACTTGCCCATACTGGCTGTGGGATGAAATTTTATAGTAAGAACTTGATTTCTTTCACCTCAGATTTTGAATCTGAAAAAAGGAATGTATTCCATTTTACATTTTAGTAAATGAACTTGACAGTCCTGAGAAAGTTTGCTTTACTAGAACTCTAGATGACCAGAGAGGGAGGCAAATCTCTGAAGATTACTTTTGAACTTTTAATACTTTCCTCCTTATATTACTTTGCCAGGGCTGCCATAACAAAGTACTATAGACTGGATGGTCTAAATAATAGCAGCTTGTTTGCTCAAGGCTCTGGAGGCCTGCGTCCAAG